TCCCACCACTGAACCGCATCTCATTGGACAGGGCCCAACATTCAAGTCTGTATAGATCCTTCTGAATGTTGAGTCTATCTTCCAAAGTATTAGCAATTCATCCCAGCTTTGTGTCATCAGCAAATTTGATGAGTGCTCCTTCAATCCCCTCATCCAGGTCATTTATGAAAATGTTGAAGAGCACTGGGCCAACGAGAGAAATACAAAATATGAAAACTCTTGCTTCTGGAACCAACCTTAGCCTTTTGTGTGTGTTGTATGGGTACGTGTGCTTCCAGTCAAAACTGATTCTATATTAATTATTAACTGGACCACACTTCTGAACATACCTTTAGTCTCTCTTTTTCAACTGAGGTGCATCGTTCAAACTTACTTATTTAAATTAAGGAATTATAAATGTTAACAATAGCCTATAGTTTATCTTCAGTGCCAAGTGAGAAGTGTACCAGCCACCATAAATCATCTTTAACTGAAAAGGTATTCACAAAAAGTCTTTGGTTTTGGAATCAAAGATTATCAGGAATATAACAGTAAGACCAATTTATTTAGTAGGAATTCAGATATAGTTAAAATAAATTCAGGGGTGGGATCTGTATTTGGACCTTGAATATATGTTAGCATATGAAGGACATACTTTTAGGTATCAATATAAGACATTGATTATTTGAAGACAATAAAGGAAAATATAAGACATAAAGCTATATGTGTGTTATGTGCCAGCAAACTTCACCCAACTTATGACAACACTAGGAGGGTTTCCAAGGTATGTGCAGTGTGTGGTTAGGATTCTGCCCTATGTCTTCAGAGCTCAGGGGAAAACAGAACAATAAAAATATGAAACAACTCAATACTTTATAAACTTTTAAAACTACATGCATTGAAACCAAACAACTGTTAAAAAAAAGCCTCCACAACCTATTAAAGCCATGATCCTTAACCCTTGAAAGCTTTGGTGAATAACATGTTTAACCTGGTGCCAAAATGAAGTTAGTGTCAGCATCAGTCAAGCCTCTAAGGACAGAACATTCCATAATTGAGATGCTTCCTCCAAGAAAGCTCTCCCTGTATCTCCACGTTTAAGAAGTTGCTTTACCAGTGCCACCCCCATGAGTTTCCAAGGCCAAGTCGGAATTTGAACCCAAGTCTCCTGAGTCTTAGGAAGTCACTCTATCCATGATGGCACTCATAAGGCTACATACACATGAGAACAAAATATTTAAATATCATTGCTTATCTCTGCTCTTTCATTTTATAGCCAAGCAATTCAAAGATAAATATTCATTTTTTGTGTTTTTTATTGGAAAGTATTGCAAGTGTTGTGTAATTTCCAAAGTCTTCACTCATTCCAGAAAAGGAGCACAGTGCTCTTACAGTGACCCTCACCATCTCTCTCTTCTTACTGTGTGTTTTTATGCACAGTAGAATGGCCACAATAATCTTATAAGCCAAAGAAATCCATCACAATTCTTTGTAAAGCGGGATTTCAGCTTATAGGAACTCTAGACTTTTGTCCAGTCTTTTATTACTTGACAGCATTCAGAAGGGGAGCAAAGAGCATAGTTTTATGATGTGCACTAAAGAAATGTGCAAAAACAGACTAATTCTAGAGGTCTTTGTGTGATTCTGAAACAACTATGGGCCAAGCAAATTGCTCCTGCTTGCTCCTGGAATGGAGCAACTTCCCCACAGATTCATCATGTTCGTACTGTTTTGCTATAAATGGCCATAAAGGTGACTCTTCCTCTTGACATTTACTCCAGTCGTGTCCGACTCTAGGGTATGGTGCTCATCCCTGTTTCCAAGCCATAGAGCCAGCCTTTGTCTGAAGATAGTTTCCGTGGTCATGTGGCCAGCGCGACTAGTCATTACCTTCCCACCGTGGTGGTACCAATTTATCTACTCACATTTACATGTATGTGAACTGCTAGCTTGGCAGGAGCTGGGACAAGTGACGGGAGCTCACTCCATAGTGTGGATTTGATCTTACGACTGCTGGTCTTCTGACCTTGCAGCCAGAGGCTTCTGCGGTTTAATCCGCAGTGCCACCACAATAAAGCGCCATAACTCTTTATCATTTCATAGTTTCTTATTGTTTTGCAGGTCCAGCATAATTCAATAGCTTTTCATGGTTCCATAAACCTGCATAGTTCTTTGATTCTTTTTAAAAAGAGACTCCAAAATAGCAACTGTGCAGTAAGGTTGGGGTTAGGGACAATTACTGGCCGATGTACCTAGTGAATGTTGTGGCTCTGTGAGAGCCCTAGAACCAGCATCTTGTACACCACAGTTCAGCAAATCTAGCCGTTACAATTCTTCATATCATCCAATTGTTTCACACTACACCTGTCACACAATACTGTGGCCTCTGAACAAAATGATAATTGCATTCTACATACATTTCTATTTTAAATTTTGCATGTACTGTAATATATTCACTATGCTTCTAAGCTTGTCTGCATGTTTGTAAGTTTTGCAAAGGCCATTGGCCTGAGCAATACATACTTGATTGACTGACTCATAGTATTCCAATCCTTATAGGCTTTCCAGAGTTAAGTGGATGGCTGCTGAAGGAAACAGGATTGTGGGTTAGATGGATATTTGGCCTGAGCCATCTGGGCCATTGCATAGAGTAGAGTTGCAATCCTGAACCCACATATGTAAGAATGAGTGTCCACTGAACTTAATGACTTTTATTTCTGAGGATACACACATAGGATTATGCTGGTAGTCAGTGGATGTAGTATAAAGCAATTCAGCTAAAAGTGAGCATCCCTTACAGAATGCAGGCTGCAGAAATAGGAAGTAAGAAATGTGATGTTTGTGCTGTTCATTTGTATTTATTAGTCACCAACTCATTGGATACATTAAGAATCTAAAATGTCTCTTGTAGAGGTTTATCACTAGCAGAAGAGAGTTGTCATTACTCCTTTAAATTTATTCCACTGTTGCACCCACGTTAAACCAAGCTTTGTCCTAAGGCTGCAGGTCTACTGCTGGGTTGTTTGGCAAATTGAATATCTCTGTAGTGTAAACAAATCTCTAAGTGAAATAAAAGGAAGAATAATTGAAGGCTGATCCTTTTAAAATGCTAGAGTGACAGATATCCTGTTGTTTCAAACTCCTTGTATCTTTCAGTGTACCAGCAGATTACCTCATTACAGTATGTCAATCAGATACCAGAAGGGAAAAAAATAGAGAAAAGAAAATGCTAGACGCCAGAGGTACACAGCTAGGGCAAAATGCTATCAGAGAGGATTGTAAGCATGTTCCCATATTTGTTTTTTGTTTTTTTTTAAGGGAAGGATGAAATAAATCCCTTTCTCTGACATAATAAACCACATTAAAACTCATGGGTAGGTGGAATGGAGGAGGGATGATCAGTTGCCCTTGAAGTGACAATTTCATTCATTAACACTGCATTCCTGTGCCGACTTGCTGGAGGCAAGCTCCATTGAACTCAACAGGACTTGAGTTCATAAAGCTCCTTTCATGAGTTTATACTTCATACTGGCCCTTTTCTTCCCCCAAACTACCACTCTCTAGCTCAGATGGGAAATAGATTACTGCAATGTACTGTACTCTGCACGAGGTTACCTTAGAAGAACTGGGTGCTCCACTGGGTGAAGTGTGTGACAGCAAGATTGCTAACTGATACACAATACCAAGATCATACTGTATGATCATGCTTAAACATCTGCACTATTTTCCAATTGCACCCCACAGACAATTCAGATTTGGTTTTAAGGCCCTTAAAGGCCTGGGACCTGGCTAGATAAAGGACAGTGCATCTCATTTTGAACTTACCTGGATGTTAAGATCCTCAGGAGGGGCCCACCGGACAGGCATGCAGGAAGAGAATTTATCTTGTGTTGCTCTCAGAGTGTAGAACACATTCCCCTCAGAACTGTGGTCAGCTTCCACTTTTTCCGTTTTTAGAAAGGATGTGAAGATTCATCATTCCAAACTGGCTTACTGTTTGAGATTACTTGATATTATGTTTTACTAGTTGCTTTCAGGCTAAGCTGATTTTAACAGTTTTATAACAGAATCTGTTTCCTATCTGCTGTTTTTATTATGATTGTAAGCCACAGAGAACACTACTTTATAGTGAAAAGGGCAGGCGGGAGGAGGAAATGTAAAAAAAAAATGGCCACAAATATTATTCCTGACAATATGTAATTACAGGTAATGTTCCATTAAGAAGACATCTGACAGTGGAATGGAGGTGGGGAGATATATTTTATTTGATTCACCTTTCCTCTTACAATTGCCCACAACATTTGCTCCAGAGAGTTAGGGACCATTTGAAGGAATATAGAAAGTTATGTGAGGGAGGGAAGATGAATCATCTAAAGTCAATCCCCTTCGTGTTCCACTGATGGATGCCTTCTTGTCAGCAGAAGGGCAATGGTCAGATACAACCTTATGATTCTTAGGGCATAAGTCCTCCCTATTCAATAATCAACATGTATTTTTACATGAGGCATTGGTAGATCCTGGAAATAACATTATTGTGTTTTTTTAACCTTTCCTCTTTAATGCAGAAGTTATATTACTTTACCATCCAATTGACCCAGGTTTACTAAGCTTTCCCATCAACTGCCTTTCAGTCACAATGTGATTTAACTAGAGAATAGTGTCTGGGATACTTTGTGTGTAACCAGGCCCTCAAGAGACGTAGACAGACAGCTGTACATTCCTGCTTTTTAAATGGTGCGGCGACTCATTGATAGACTAAAGTCCCATAATAACATGTCAATTGGAAGCTGCCACCCATTTGAGCGATATCCAGTGTCGGCAGAAATAGCAGAGTCATTCCAAACTTTTCTGTCTGGAGCCAAACCAAAGCACCCCCCTCCAGGCATGTGTGTGACCAGACAAACTTTACCCATGCACTGTTTTGAAAGCAGCATGCTCTTCTGAAGTACAGCAGTTATGATTCTAATGAATTTCTTTCTTTCTTTTCTTTGTGTCCCTCTTCTTGCCCTACATCAACAAAGTTTTAGCCCAACTTGTCATTTGGACCAGAGTCGTGGATTAATATGTGATGAATGTCCCCCTGGGTACTTTGGCTTACGCTGCGAGAGGTAAGCAAGCATCATGCAGGATTTTCTTTTCTTTATTTAACACTTCTTTATTAAATGTTGCTCTTTTTTAGGGCCTTGTTCCCTTTGTGTGTTGAAGCAGTGATATTAGATGTAAATGCTCATATTGCTACTGTCCATACTAGTCAAAATAGTGGCATAATAGTGTCATACAGGTTCCTACTTTAATGAAAAATTCAATGCTTGTTCCACATTTGCTTAGCTGCTTAGGAGCCAACAAAATTGTTTTTATTTAATTTTGCAGATAAACATTGCACTGTAACATCAAGGAAAATATTGTTATGAAAACAACAGTCATGTTAGAATTTTTTGAAATGGGGCTGGGTTTTGTGCACCTGTTCATTGTCATTATTATTATTGTGTCTTTCAAATTTGGCTTGAACACTGAGGGTGTGTTTAATCAATTATTTAGTGAATTGCCATTTCATCTCCTTACACTGAGCCAAACACTACGATCATAGAAGCAAGATGTATTTGTCTTCATTATTTGAAAACTCACACTTTCAAACTTGGCTGCATCTAATTCTCTTCTGAACTTGCTTATTTGGCATGGACAATGACTGGGCTTCCAATAAACATCCAATAAACATTTAAGAGGAATGTTTTGTTATTGTTTTTAAAGGAAGCTTGATAAAGGCATGCAACTTTCTAAGTGATTGAACAAAAACAAATGTAGATATTTGGCAGTATGGGATCAATTTTTCTATAGGGAAATATCTTATATCGTAAAAGTGTATGGTGTATTTTTTAACTTTCCAATTATTGTACGCTGGAAAATAGGTTTGATGTGAACACAGTTAATGACCATCTTAAATTCTATTCATATCATGAATAGCTATAAGAAAACATGATAGTGTATTTGCCCCACCCTCAAAAAAGTGTTTTCCACCATCTTGTTTTCTTCCTGTGCTTTCTAGCATGGCATAATCCTCTACTGGTGATCTTTGCTGGCCCTTTGCTTCCCCAAAACTACTTTTTCTGGAGTCACGACTCGTAGTGACTGTTGTGTAGTCACAGGAAATAAACAACAAAACAGATTATTCACCAGAGTTTTTCAGATTCTTTTCATAGATTGATTTATGTAAAATAGGCAATCACTGCTGATAGCAAAGACACTACACAGAATCATCTTTAAAACAGAAAGCATTTTTAACTTTACATGATGTTTGATATTTCAAAGTGGCATTTTAAAGAAAGGGAGAGGTGGTGGTGGTGATGATTTAATGACACTAAGGTGGTTTTACAGATCACCAACAAAGGGGAAGTGCTTTACTGAAGGGGAAAAAAACAGTAAAAGAGGATGGAAGTTGGCATCGCATTTGTATGGAAACACATTCAGAAATAATTATTGTAATTCTGAAAAATATACAACATATCTCATGATAACGAAATGAGCAAATTATCTGAGTGCTGCTTCACTCTGGTTTTCCAGTTACTATGTTTAGATTGGGACTTTTAAGACCTCTGTTGCTCTGTTGTTGCTGCTCTTTATCTTTAAACTGCATTTGGACTGAACTAGTATTCAAAGAGAAGACTCCATCTGGTCTAATATCTGATTAAAGAGCTGTCCTCTATAACCGTGGCTGAAATCCTAATCAGTAGCTATGCTAGCGTAATTTAACATTACGCAAGCAGTAGCTGAATATCACCAAGATGAATGTCCTACCTCTCATATCCTGATGTCAAAACTTCCTTTGTCTTTTCATTTGATTGTTTAGGGCTCTATAAATCACCAAAGGAATAAAGTATTTTCTTTAATAGTCTTTCCTTTGTTCCTAGTTCCACTCTTTCTGTCCCTCCAACCTTTGATTGCCCCATGTAATTGTACAGTATTTGCCACTTCGTTATAACACTTTCCACATAGCCTGCCCTCAGGTGTATTGTGCTCCACACCACTCCGATTGAATTAATTTATCAGAATTTTATTAAAATAACAGTTTCCACTAATGCCTTACATTGATTCAACATTGCTTCACTCTCTCTGTCGCCTCTCTCCTTCTCAAACTCCCAGCTCTTTAGTTTAATCTGCCTTCTCTACAATCTGTCTACTGTCCCAACTGCTCCAAAAGCCTAACTAAAGGCATGAGTAGACTGGGGAATTCGGAACGATTAAGGTTGTGTTTAAAAGGCTCTTACCTTCAGCGTGATCTATTTTATCTCACATTTGAGCAAGCCTTCCATTCACCCAGGACATGTTTCTTCTCCCATGAGAAGGATCCAGACAGCACTTCAGAGGGTTCCAATTTTTCCGCATTTCAATTATTAAAACCCCTTCCCCTGCCATTTTCCCCAACTTTTGTCACAACTATCATTTTCTTTTTTAATTTTTAATTTAGTAAGTGGTATACCACTACAGCAATACACCAGCTTATAATGGATATTCTCTTATATCTGAAATAGCCCTGCATCACTTAGGAGGTTTTTCAAAAAGATTCTTAGCTCTCTGAGTTTAATGTTTCTTCTCCCAAAGAACTTGAATCCAAGAACTTGAATCCCACCATGACAGAAACAAAAAGCCCACTTCTTACAGAGAAAGCTATTTTCTTGCTCATATTCATCCTGAGATTGTTCATATCATTTATGGTAATTTGGTGGGCAGGGGCAATGAGAAATTACAATATGCTGAGTGTCTGAAGTTCTTACTAGCATGTTGAAAGATCACAGATGGGTAATTTGTGTCAGGTAACATTGGTAAGAGATGGTACATCACACAGGAGGACAAAGAGACTGATCAAGAGTGAATTCTTATTGTTGTGAAAATCTAGTGTCCTGACTAGCCTGCTTCTGTGGCTCTTAAAAGCCTGGATCTAAACACCAGTTGGTAGAGAATTAAGGTTGCCACCTTTCCCCCCCCCCCGAGAACCAGGAATCTAGGGTGTAAACGGCTTTGGCCTTGGATACCATATGCACCTATCCAGCAGTTAAGATCTAGCCAGGGGGCCCTTTTGAAAGAGCCCTCCGTCAAGGAGGTAAGAGGGATGGCTTGTAGACAATGGGCCTTTTCGGCAGCTGCCCCCAGGCTATGGAATGCCATTCCAATTGAGATTTGTCTGGCGCCAACGCTGATGACATTTTGGTGCCAGGTCAAAACCTTCCTGTTCCAGAAGGCTTTTAATTGAAATAATATCAACTTTGGGTCCTGATGGCAATGTTTAGAGTATATATTTTATTGTATTTTAATTGTTTTATCTTTTTATTGTATTTTAATTGTTGTAAGCCACCCAGAGACCTTTGGGTAGAGTGGGCGGCATGACAGACAGACAGACAGACAGACAGACAGACAGACAGACAGACAGACAGACAGACAGACAGACAGACAGACAGACAGACAGACAGACAGACAGACAGACAGACAGACAGACAGACAGACAGACAGACAGACAGACAGACAGACAGACAGACAGACAGACAGACAGACAGACAGACAGACAGACAGACAGACAGACAGACAGACAGACAGACAGACAGACAGACAGACAGACAGACAGACAGACAGACAGACAGACAGACAGACAGACAGACAGACAGACAGACAGACAGACAGACAGACAGACAGACAGACAGACAGACAGACAGACAGACAGACAGACAGACAGACAGACAGACAGACAGACAGACAGACAGACAGACAGACAGACAGACAGACAGACAGACAGACAGACAGACAGACAGACAGACAGACAGACAGACAGACAGACAGACAGACAGACAGACAGACAGACAGACAGACAGACAGACAGACAGACAGACAGACAGACAGACAGACAGACAGACAGACAGACAGACAGATAGATAGATAGATAGATAGATAGATAGATAGATAGATAGATAGATAGATAGATAGATAGATAGATAGATAGATAGATAGATAGATAGATAGATAAAGTTAGTTGATGTCTTTCACTTACCACAAATTGTTTGAGCTATGTAATGGTATCATCCAATTTTTTTCTATTTATCATCCCAACCTGTATTTCATAATTAAGTTATAGAACACCATCATGAAATAGATTTACAAACAAGAAAGAAAAATGGAGCTATTTTTGTATCACCATAGTGGAAGATTGTGCCCCAGAGTTTCTACTTCATAAACTCTGTATGTTTTGAACTATCAAACCAGGATGTGTAGTGAGCTTAATAGGGTTTTCAAAGTAAGTGATATATTTTGGGAATAGACATGGGGATGAATTTAAAAACGAATTGGGATGTTCGTTAAATATCCCTGATTCATCAAATATTTGTTGCTTTGTATTCTTGGGGTCCAGAGACCCTTTTATAATCGTCCCTTCGTGCCCTATCTGCTTATGCCCCCGGGGATCAGCTTTTCCTCTGGAGCATAAGCAGAGAGGGGTTTTCCCTTTGGGCGGCTTGGTTCCCCTTTCTCTTTCTTTCTTTCTTTCTTTCTTTCTTTCTTTCTTTCTTTCTTTCTTTCTTTCTTTCTTTCTTTCTTTCTTTCTTTCTTTCTTTCTTTCTTTCTTTCTTTCTTTCTTTC